GGGCTGCAGGCTGCAGCCCGGGGCTCTGCCTCGCTTACCCTTGAAGACGCGGGTGGCCCAGCGGGACTGGAGCTCGGAGATGGGCATGATGGCGCCCAGGGGCTGGATGAGGCCGATGAAGGCCAGCGTTGGCTTTTCCAGGTGGACGGGGAAGACGTATTTGTAGAGGGGGATCTGGTTCTCCACCACCGTCACACAGTCCTCGAGGAAGGGGAAGGCGAAGCTGTAGCCCGTGGCGAAGACCACAGCATCAATGTCATCTTCCTTGGTGCCGTCCTCGAAGATGGCAGCGGTGGCCGTGAACTCCTGGACGTTGGGCTTGACCAGCACTCTGCCCGAAATGATGCGGTTGGGCAGGTCGTCGTTGACGGTCGGGTGCTGGTGGAGGATCCTGCAAGGGCAGAAGGGACCATCAGGGTGATGGAGGGTCTGTACCGTGTCCTGCCTCTGTCCCCTGCTTCCTGCTCAGGTGCCCAGTGCCTTGCTGCTTCCCAGGGCTGGCCCCAGTGACGTGCATTTGCTGCCCCTGCCATGGTGTCACCACAAACAGAGGCAGAAGTGGGTCCCTTGACCACTGCCTGGGCAGAACAGAGCGACTAGCTGGGTCTCCCAGGCCAGTACCTTGACTCTAGGCTGGGCTTGGGGAGCAGGGAAATGGCTGGGATACCCTCCCTCCACCTGAACTGGTCTGGATGAAGGGGGAACAGAGGGTGGCCTCTTCTGCTGGGCAAAGGGGAGTGTGTGCGGGCACCTGTGCTTTGGCTTCAAGCCGTAGTGCGAGTGGTTGAATCTTGTGTTCAGGCGCTTCTCTACCCAGTTGCACACCATGGATGTGGGCATCAGTTTGGAGATGATTTTGTTCATGCGGGTGGTGAGGACAACGTCCTCGGGGAGCCCCTGCTCTCCAACGCGGTTGAGGATCCATGCGCCCCGGCGGGTGCTGAGGAAGACCTGGGTGAGTGAGAAAACGTTACGCCTTTAATGCTGTGACAGTCATGGGGGGCTCAGTGAGGGCTGCCCCTGCAGGGCCGTGGCCTCTCCGTGCGATTGCTCCTCCTTCCGCAGTCTCGATTTCTGCTGCCCAGGGGCTGCGCAGAGACCTGGTGGCCAGAGCGCTCCGTCTCAGCACCAGAGAGCCCTTGCCCAAGCTTGTAGGTATCCTGTGTCGGGGGGGATGATCTTATGGGCCCGGGGGGCTGCCCACCTGTGCGGACCGCGCTCAAGTTGTCACCTGCTTGGCCGTATGACTGATCTCCACAGCTAGATCCGACCCTGAATTCCCGATTCCGATTACAATGACCCTCTTGTCCGCGAAAGCCTGGGGGTGCTTGTAGTCCCGGCTGTGGAGGTAGCGGCCCTTGAACTTCTCAATGCCTGTGGGCAAGAAAGGCGGGATGCTGTGCTTCCTGGCGCAGCTCTGGAGGAAGGCCGCCCCTTGGGAGAGCGGGGCAGCGCGCGCTGCGGGCCGCACGTACCGGGGAAGGTGTGCAGGGGCAGGTGCGCGTCCGTGTGGTGGCCGGA